AAAAAAAAAAAAAAAAAAAAAAAAAAAAAAAAAAAAAAAAAAAAGTGAAATAGCCCTGGCGTCGGTTGGATCCCCATTTTTGCAACATACCCCTACTGGGTATTGTCCAACTTTGCAAAATGCCCCAGTAATTGCCAACTTCTCCTAGGAAGTCGCTATTGCAAAAGGCCAAGGCCCAAACGGGGAGGTCCAGATTGCTAAGTTGCACACCCGCCTGACAGGGGCACAACACAAAGATTTTGGCCCAAGAGGGCGCTTTGCGCTCTATCCACATCTTTCAGGGGCATTTTGGCCCACATCTCAACTTATGAGGGTATTTTGCAAATTATCCCTAAATATATCTGTATAATATGTATACAGTTTGTCACAGCCCCTCATTTGTTCTCCTCTTCTCCCTCTCTGCCTACGGGTTACCGGGCCACTCTGTTTGACTATTTATATATGTTACTAATAATATGTATATATATCGTCAAATAGAACTGCCCGGTAAACAGTAGGCAGAGAGGGAGAAGAGGACAACAAACGAGGGGCTGTGACAAACTGTTTCGTCGGAGTTTCACCGACTTATATTATAGACGATATATATATTATATATATATATATATTAATTTTAAGTTGGATTGGTTTGTCATTCGTGTGTCTCATCCAGGAGGCATGCCATGCTGATTATCGATTGACCAAAAAAAAAAAAGATTCGAAGCGGCAGGCCACTTTGAAAAGGCGGAGTTGCATCCAGCGGCCTAGCTCGGTTGGAAAGGCACGCAAGTGGCATTCAGGAGGTCTTGGGTTCAATCCCCATTGGCCTCATGTACCTTCCTGGCAAGCTTGGTGCCCGCCAGCTGGAGATAGGCCCTTTGTCCCCCCGGGTTGCATTGAGCAGAGACTGCTGATGTTCACAAGGGGAGGGGACCGGAGGGGAGGCACAGCGACTGGCCCATCGAAGAAGCTCGGTCCTGATGATACCGGCTGACCCCTGGCCGGTATCGGCCACCTGCTGTAGCAGGTATCGCACCTGCTGATGGGTGCAGCTCGCGCATGTTCCCTTGTTGGAGGCTTGAGCATGGACGTGGCTGCTACGGGGTTTCCCGTAATACGATAATGACAATAGAAAAGGCCTGAAAGGCCGTCCTGTCGGGGGATTCGACAGGTCATTGAATTGGTTGGGCTTAAAAGAATTAGCCTTTTTTTTTTTTTTTTTTAGCGCAGTTGCAGGCTTGCAAGTCTTTGAACGCAGCTCTGTCAACGTAGGGGCTTGTGCGAACTGGTTGCTTAACTAAACAGGAAAAAAAAGAAGAAAAGAAAAGAACATGAGTAGACTAGGGTCTTGTGCGAACTGGTTGCTTAACTAAACAGAAAAAAAAAGAAAAAAAAAAAGAACATGAGTAGACTTGCAAATAATTGAGCCGCCAATTCACACAAACATAAGTAGTGCTCTTACTGGTATACGCGGTGCCGGGGCCGGTACCAAAAAGTGACATGCCACTTTGAAACGACGCAGTCGCAGGTTTGTGAGGCTTGGATGCCAGCTTCATCAACTTAGGCTCTTGCGAACTGGTGGTTTAAGTAGACAGAACATAAATAGAGTTGCAGATAATTAACCCTTGGTTAACACCAGATCTTGTCTTTCTTTTTCGGTCCTATCCTCCTGCTCCACCCCCCCCCCCCCCCCCCCCCCCCCCCCCCCCCCC